GTGACTTCTGCTGTTTCAGTGTGATTTCCTAACAAGCTGTCACAGGAGATTATAGCCACTGTCTCAGCCACAGTTGACAAACACCCACTCACTTCAAACATTAAGTCACATTCAGCGTTTCTGTGCTGAAGCGAGTCTGCGGAGCTGCCGAGTGTCTCTGTGAGCCGAGGCCCCCGGGGGCGAGGAAACCAGCAGCCACCAGTCAGAGTTCCTCTGTTTAATATTGCAGTGTGTGTGTGTGTGTGTGTGTGTGTGCGCATGCCTTTGCCTTTGCTTGAGTAACAAGACTAGGTCAAGACGTAGTGTATGGCTGGACCGTGAATGGTCAATGTGCGACACTGAGGACACAGCTACCTTCAGCGGAGAGTGGCTAAAACCTGCTCGAAAAATCCACGATTTAATACGCTAATTAGCATATTCATGATGTCATCACGTTGTATTTGCATTCTGCCTAGTGTCAGCTGGTGTCAGTCCGTCATCTCTTCTCTTCTCTCCTCCTCTCTGTGCTCACATACGCAGTATTTTTGATACAGCCGAAATCTCCAACGAAGCCGTTCTCATTTACGTGTTTCTGTTGTCATGACAACGGAACTGGCGACTCTCTTCTACGGGAAGCAGCTGAGATTTGTTCCGAAAAGTCACTCAAAGGTCATTTGTCGCAAAGGTGATTTTCTTGTAAAAGAAAAAGTGGCTAAAAGTTGGTTTGAAAAGTTCAACGACCTCTGATGATGACATCAGAGGTCGAGTCCAGCTTGATGCGAAAGAAGCGGGAAGAGAGAGGGTGAAAGAGAAGGTGGGCTCAGTTGATCCGAGCGTTATAAAGGTGTTGGGTGGCACGGCGGTCAATAGTCAGAGTAAGATAATATTGAATTTCAATACAATATTTATAAAACCCCATGCATGAGTTCCTGGAAGAGCTTTCAGATTAAAGAAAACATGCAGCTGTGAGCAGTTTAATGTACAGATTCCTTTTAAGTATTAAGTGATATAAATTTCTATCGCTGATCTTTTATTAACCAAGGTTGTAATACTTGAAGTGAAACATGATTAATGAACTTATTAACCTCCACCCAGTCCTGATTGTTTACCGTTAAATCTTCAATTAGACTGAAGTTTTATTGATTTTAATTTAACACTGCATTTTAAGGATTCCATCACCACACAAAGGAAAGTAAACCGAGTTCACACGTGCAGTGTTTTTATTAACGCCTTTGTTCTTAAAAAGATCTCTGTCCACATAGAAAACGCAAAGACACGTTGTCAAGACGACGCCAAACCGACAGGCGGCATGACACATTGAGAAGCTGTGTTAAGATCAGCTAAGAAAATACAGGCTGTGATTCACATTAGTAGAAACAAGCTAAAGTTTTGTTCTATGAAATTAATTAAGTCTGTTCAAACCTCATCTCTCTGTTTTGCAGTTGCACAGGATCCTGCTGCAGAGGATGCTTTATATTTAAATTAATATAAACGGTAAACTGCAGGTTCAGTTGTGAAGAATTCAGTACTTTGCTACACAGATAAATTTCTTAATTTAATCAAATCCCAATACAGACGTCTTCTTGAAAATATGCAGATTCTTGAATCTAATTAGGTCGACAAAAACATGTCATTACTATTTAATTCCCTATTTTTAATTCAGTTCTGAGCTTCTGAATATTTGGGGTTAAATAAAGGCAGGTGTCAATGCAACCGAGCTGCAGCAGCTACGAGATGAAAATCTGCCAAAACCATTTTAGGATGTGGTCAAAATGCTGGTTATAGGTTCACACGTGAAATGTTTCACTTCACTTGTGTCACTGTCTCTTTCACATGCAAAGTTACAAACATGTTGCCTGGCACATGCACGTGCGAACTGAAACATTGCACATGTGAAATTCAATATTTCAACGTGTGAAATTAAAAGTTTATATAGCACAAGTTCTCAGGTAGCCAATCAGCATGTCATGTGAGTAAACTAGAAAACTGTCGTTCATGGACTTTTCAAGTTTGTGCCAAAACAAAAATCTTCCTCACATGGAGTTTAAAGAGAATAAATCAGCACAGAGGAGTCGGTCCACTTTGTGTGGTTGTGGTCGGTTTGTTGCGGCCACTTTGAAGCTGTGTAAAGAATTCACTGTTGCAAGGGAGCTAAGGGATGCAGAAGCAGCCTTGTCTTAATTATAGTGGGGCACTCTTATTGCTCCGGGCTCATTATTAATGGCTTACAGTGTGGAAATTGACACCCTGGGAAATAGCTGGGTCCATCATCGTCATTCAGCCTTCATTATTAAAAACTCAAATTTTATTTATTTATTTATTTATTTATTTTCTGCTGCAGGAGTTTCTGTGTTTCAGAAGCACATCCCAGTTTCCTAAAAAGGAAAACTCTCCAGCAACTGTAAATAACGACGGGCCAGCTTACCTTGGATAAATAAGAGAGCGCACCCCCAGGGTGAATCTTGGAGGTCTGCGTCCTCCATCATTCTGACAGGATCCAGGCAGGTGGTGAAAATATAGAAGCGTCTCCACCCGCTGTTAGAGAGCGTTGTACCAGGCTGCAGGAACAGTGGAGGGGGGGGGGGTTTACTGGCAAAGCCCTGAACATTTCCAGATGCTGCAGAGTTAACTGTGGGAACTCAGCGGAGAGAGAAATCAGCGGTTGGCCAACCTCAAGAGGCCTAGAGGATGATCTCAAACGTCCACCTAGCAACAGGATTTGACTAATGACGGCTCTCTTGGAGCTCGTACTGGTAGTTTGCGGATTGAGTGGAACCATGAGATGCTGCTTTGTGCTCATATTCATTAAAATTAACCAGACTCATGTAACAACGTTGACACGGTGAATTGTTCACATCGAAATGATAAAAATCATTGTAATGAAAAGCAGTTTGTTTCAAGCAGATTTATTCTCTGTGCAGAAAAGCTTGTAAAAATAAGTCAAACAATTTAGAAACATGATGTGAACGGTTAAAGTTTGGCCTTTTGATGTGATTTTAGTTTGATGGACAATTCAGAAGGCATTGATTACCACAAACATCAGGAGGGATGCTTCGGTATTAACACTGTTTGGCGTTTGGGAGAAAATGTGGCTGCAGAGTTTCAAACGTTGACCGAGAGTTTAAACAATAATCTAATGCTAATGAGGATTAAAACAATCAAACATCCAGGAGTTCCTCTGTAATCATAAATGACTGAGTTTTTAAGTTGATTAGATTTCGTCTTTGGATCGTGATCGTAATCGTGCGTTCGACCCGTGAGTACGGTGGCCCTGAGCGCTCGACTCACTGCAGCGTAAGACACAAACGCTCTGCAAATTCAGTCCTACAACATCGACGACGTAAGTGTTTCCAGGGGACAGTAAAAAAGTGATGAACCGGGCTGGGACGCACATTTGAAGTTTAAAATAACACAGTACTTTTGTTTCTTTTTAAGATATTTGCAGAAACACTTGAAGACTGAATTTGCAGCGTGTTTTATTCATTTGCATTTGTTGAGATTTTTTTTGCAGCGCAGGTGTTGTCACATTGATGAAGGTGTTTTTCTGAATTTGCAGTTCGTTTGTGTCTTTGCATGTTTCCTGAACTTGCAGTGCGTTTGAGCTCTCTGGGCCACCGTAGATCTGTCTGGTAAGTCTGGTTTTCTGAAAAATGTGAGAAGGCTGGATGTTAATTTAGCCTTTTATTTAACTGCGGTGCATCTTAGTGACTTTAAGTTTTACTCAAGAGCAACTTATAAAACAGAAAGGACCGAGGAAGGAACCTTGAGGGACACCACACTGGTGGAACCAAAGAGAAATTGTTTCCGCTTGGATTTACAGTTTTGAGAATAAGTATGTCATGTGGTCCCAGTACTGTGTAGTTTGATTGTAAGACTTTCATTAGCTGCTGAGGAACTACTTTTTTTTTTTTGATGCTGAGCTGTGCCGATAAGAGTCGTAATAATAATAAAAGAGCAACAGTTCCACCATGTTGTGGTTTAACCGAATGTGACAGTGCGGCTCCACAGCCACTGGCGTTGAAAAGCTGTTTGACACACAAACATAGATTTCTCCAGTGAGTCACACCGGGCCACTGCCTCACACTGAGCGGAGGGATTTATTGGCTGTGTTGTCGTCGCCGTCCCCCCCCCCAAAACCCCGGCACACTATCACTCTCCGAGCTATTTTTATCTGTCCGGGAGAACATGTTGGCATCCTCCCCCCACCCCACCCCACCCTGCTCCCATAATTCCTCTCTGTGTCCAAACACAAGCCGACAAGAAATAGGTCTGCAGTGCCCCGGTGCTTTACAACACGCTGCTGTTTCACATGAACAACTCCACTCACACTCTCATCTTACATTTATGTGCCTCACACATGCTTTCACTTACTCTCTCACTCTCTCTCTCTCTCTCTCTCTCTCTCTCTCTCTCTCTCTCTCTCTCTGTCTCTGGCTTCATTCTCTCTGTGTGTAAATGATGAAAGTAAAAGTAATACAAGAAACCGACAGGGGCATCTGGCCTAATTCCAATAGAAAATGGAATTGGATTAGGGCCTCTATTCTCACAGCTGTGTGTGTGTGTGTGTTTGGTGTGTGTGTGTGTGTGTGTGTGTGTGTGTGTGTGTGTGTGTGTGTGTTTGGGGTGAGAATCAAGGCAACAATGGAGCTGTGCAGCTGGCACACGGTGAAGCACTGATGATGAACAGTGAAGAAACAGTCGCTGCTGCTGCTGCTCAACACCTCCCTGTTCGTGTGTGTGTGTGTGTGTGTGTGTGTGTTTCATGCTTGCATGCACATCACAGACAGATCAATCATATTTATGACATTGATCACTTCTCCTGACTCACAGATGCAGTCTTTGTTTCCGTTGTTTTACATTGTTTCTTAATGGATAACGACTTTTAAACAGCAGCTTCGTGCGGCTGATTTTGAACGCTGATAATCACACACTTAATTTCTTCAGTCACACGCTTACAGCGTCTTTTCCTCTCTGAACGCCTCGCCGTCAGATTCACTTTCTCCTCTTTGTTCCTCCTGCAGCGCCGGTCCTAAAGGAGACAACATCTACGAGTGGAGGTCGACCATCCTGGGCCCTCCGGGCTCCGTGTACGAGGGAGGGGTGTTTTTCCTGGACATTGCCTTTACACCAGACTACCCCTTCAAACCACCCAAGGTGAGTGTTGCCCTGCAGCCATGCAGCACCACAGCCCCCCCACACCCCCACTCCTTCACCCAGAGCTTTGAACAATGCCACCATTGTCCCAGCAGGCTTTTCACCATGTTGTCCAACAACAATGACTTATTTCAGGCTCGGTCACCGACAGCACGTTTACAGAGTAAAGGGTGACAGCAGCATAAAGGATTGAATCAGAACCGAAGACGAATGATGGTCCTGTTATTTTCAATTTCTGGATATTCTGTATGTTTTTCTTATTGTCAACAAACCCCATGAAAAGATTTGTTCTGTAACACTCAGACCAAAGTCCATTGGTTCCTGCAGAAACTGTTGATTTCATGAATGAAAATTTTAATGTAAAATATTAATTTACAACCTTTCTGCCATTACAAAAACTAAAAATTAAACACTTAAAGCTCCTCCAGTGTAAAGGTCTGTGTCCATGTGTAGTGTGATTATAGATCAGCTCTAGCTTCTATATTAATACTGTGAAAGTATCAAAGCCTCAGTCCACAGAGAAATGCACACAGCCTGTATTCAGAAACTGAGCCTTAAAACCAGCCGTCAGGACTTCTGGAACTTTGTGATGTCACAACAAAGCAGTCACCAAGCCCCGCCCACCTGGACCCACCATCCAAACCTTGCAGGATTTGGTTTCTCTGAGTGTTTTTACCTGAAATCCGTTATATTTTTATTGGATCACTTAGCAAACAGTGAGCCAATCAGAAGAGAGGCTCAGAGCCTCCTCTCTTCTGATTGGCTCACCGACCTGTTGTTACTAGAGCTCCAGAGAGAAGCCTGAGAGAGGAGATGTAAAACTACACTGAGATGGTTTTTATATCTTCTGATGGATCAACACTTCAAATAAAACACAAAAGAAGAGGCGCTGTTAAAAAAAAAAAGGTGTAACTTCCTACAACAGCTGGTCATTGTAGTTTTTAGCAAACGTTTCTCACACAGGAGGAAATTGTGCAGCAGAGCTCCATTGTTCTCAATGCTCACTACAGCACCAGATGTGGATGCTGAAAATGCACAAAGAAAGAAGATACATCACATTTACACACACACACACACACACACACACACACACACACACACACACACTCAATACTTATGAGAAGGATACATTAATTGTTGTTTTTGATCTTTTGACAATAAGAAAACTAACGACTCTCACCAGCCTTATCTTTTTATCAGTTTCTTGTTATTGTGTCCCTTCCTGATACGCATGCTGCTAGCACTCTGCAGCGTTTGGCTTCCCTCCAGTGAGGCTGTGGGTTTACGTGTGTGTGTGTGTGTGTGTGTGTGTGTGTGTGTCTCTGTCTCCTGCTGATGCAAGTGTGTGTCAGAATTTACACAGCAGACAGGCTGACAGCGGTTGCCACCTCCCTCGGTTTGAGTTGTACTCCTGATTTTGTGCTGGGTTTTTGGTTTCAGGTCTAGAAATACTCACCGGCTAAAAACGCTAGCAGCTATTTAGAGACACACGTTGTAAGAGTAAACAGAAAAATCGACTTTACAGCGAAGATATCTGCCGTATGCATCCGGAGAAGCCCCCTCGGCCGGCTTTGGATTATCAGTTGAGAAGTGAAAGAGAGTTGTTCAGGAGACGGCAGCAACCGGACAGAATTTGCCTGTGATAGTTTTTATGCAAATCTCGTCCTGAGGATGATGCTGTCAGACGATCGCCACAAATATTAGGATTCAAACTCTTCAACGAAAAATCCAGCCACCGGTTTTTAAGACACTTTGATCCGTGGTGTTGGAGAGAGTTTAATGTGTCCGGTGGTTGTTGAGATATTATTTGCTGTGTTGTGTTTCTGAGTTTTTACGTGTTTTCCTGGTTCAGTTCCAGGAAGTGATTAAAACAGAAAACTGAGGCTTGAAAGGAAACGAAGTGACAGAAATAATAAACCGGCTTCTGTTGAGGAACAGTTCACCACCTCTTTTTAATTACAGGCACTTGTGCTTCTTATTGGGGCTGGGTGTCAAACCTCGACCGATTAATCCTTCATCTTGTACCTTATTTATATTTCCTCATATGATTCATAACTTTGGTCATTTTAGACTTTATTCTACTTTATTTGAGTTAAGTTCTTATACGTCTGCTTTGTGTTAATAATGTCTTCAGCTGGTTTATTTTGTTAAATTCAAAAGGGGTTTTGTTTAGAGAAACCTTCACACATACAGTAAGACAGTAAATATAAACAATATGGACCAAAAAACCAAAAAACAAATGTATTAAGCAGCGGCTGAACAGGCTCATATATATTTACCTGCCTACAGTTTTCATTCACTTTGAGCTACTGAACAAACAGAAAAGAAAATTGCTCTTAATTGTAACCCTCAGAAATAACACTTTATATTAGCATCGTTCTGTAATTTAACCCCAACAATAGAAACACACGTTAAACAGTAAACTTACAGACACCTCTCAGATCATATTTCCTCTCCTGCATTGTAAAGAAATAAAAAAAATCTTAGAATAAAAATCTTTTCTATATTTGTCGTGAGGTTTTGATAAATATATTATTTTGCTCCTGAAACTGCAGCTTCTATATTCACATTGGTCTAAAAACATCCAGAACACTGAGGCTGGGTGTTTATTACCATCAAAATTAAATGTTTCTTGTTGAGCATAAAAGTTCATTTTCACTTTGGTAAGGGAATCCTCACTTCCAGATTTTTATTTGAATCAGGATTTATGTGATCAGAGAGGGAGTAAATAAAACGTCTTATCTGACAAGATGTTTGAAACCAACTCTCAGTACTTGGTGCGATGGGACACGTTTTAGTTGTTACCAAAATAGCAGATGAAGTACGACACCTGATTTTAATCTAATCTAATCTAAACAAATGAATTTTGTCATTGACTAGAATCCCCGCCTCCAAGTTGCAGGAAATAAAAGCCACAACCGCTTCTTCCAAATGTCTAGAAGAATAAAATGAAGCGGTGACATTTTATATCCAAAAAAAAGGTCAAAGGTCAACTTCACTGTGACATCATAATGTGTAAAAAAAAAAAAACACCTCCCACCATTATTACAACACTGTAACTCAGGAAGGAAAGACTGCGGCCGTGTTTCCTGCAGCTCGTCTGGTTGGTTGGAGGAAACGGTCGCGATGAGGTGATTCTGCTTTTTAAAAATAAAAATAAAAAAAGCTTTCTCAATAACATGTTGGCAGAACTGTGTGTGTCTGTCTCGTGTAGCCTGTTACTCTGCATCCACCGGGATGTTTTTAAGCAAACGATGAGGTTTGGTGGGTGAGTCATTTCTCCCATTCGAGCCACTTAACAGAGGCAGATGTGTTTGTGATAACACTGACACGCCGAGTGGAGCTGGGTTTATTTTGTTACGCAGCGAAAAGAGTTCTTAGAAAAACTTCTTTGGCACCAGCATCAAAAACTTTTTAAATGCCTGACGAACAGAATGTAAACCAGAGACTGAGTTTGGATGAAAAACAAGTGACTTACTGCGACTTCCTACCTTTTGATTGGCTCCCTTCGATGTAATGCTGGAAAAAAAACATGCAACATTTTCACAACAAACTGAATTTATTGGGGCAATTTTGTCACAGCTTTGGGTGTTGTGATCCGCAGTCTGGAGTGAAACATGACTCCCAAAGAGAAACAATCATCTCCTCGTTCCCTCCCTGTCGACCGGCTCAAAGTGCCTCCTTCCTGGCAGCCTGCGCTGAGGGGGAAACAGAGCTCATCTAAACTCTTGGCCTCCTGCTGCCGTGTTTTTCCAGCCTGGCTATGAGCTGTGCCATCCTGCAGCTCGCCGGCTCGCAGCCACCGATCTGACAGCTGCAGCTGCTCACTCCACTGGCTCGCCCACTAATGTTAGGATGATAAAGCCCCGTTAAGGCCGACACTGATACTCTTAGATAGAGGTTGAGCGTGGCAAGGGCGTTCCGTCAGTATTTGTATTTTTGGTCCAACATTAGTCCGTTCCAGGAGCTGTTCAGCAGAGCTATCCAGTGACAGGCTGAGAGATTAGACGCTAACTAACATTATCCCGCTCCATCTACCATAATTTCCTCATGGCTTTGAACTAAATTCCGCTCCACACTTTATCTCCCCCCCCCCGCATGATATCGTTCTCATTTCCAGCCCTTGTGAAATAGGCTGTTTAACGTGCCATGTAGAGTCATAAAGTCAAGCTTAGACTTGCGGACGATCAGCCTCCTTTTTTAAACCTTTTCCCGTTTTGTCTCGTTTAAATTATGTCATGATGACTGTCCGCAAAACTATGAATCAGTTCAATTGCTTTTCATTCCTTTTGGATGAATGTGGACGTTGGATATGAACAGAACTGAGGTAATAATAGAGGAACGTGCTTTATCACAGTCAAGACAAATGTGGCCTTTTGGCATGTGGAGGGATCTCTGCCGCCTACAGAGCAATTAAAATGATTTACTTGACTCACCCTGAGGTTAGCGGATGAGATATAAGATATACTGTGAGATGAGATAAAAACGGTTTTGTCGGGATGGCTTTAACATCTCTGGGTGATTATACAAATCAGTGACATCTGTGATAATGGCAATACTTTTTTGTACAGTGCATTGTTTCTTAAGGTTTAAAAAAAACTATTAAAAAAGTGACTGGACGATCCAAAAAAGCACTTTTTAAAATTATTTCAGCTGTAAAAGTTTTCTCAATTGAAGTGCCAGAAAAAGTGCTATTCAGGATATTTATAGACATCTTGATATTAAATGACATAAACAGTTAAATCCACCTCAAAATCAGGCTTAATCCAGAATACCACAGTCGTCGTCTTCGTGCTGAACGTTTGAGAGAAAGTGTTTTTTCCAAATCTATGAATGTGGTCCAGGTTTACAGTAAGCACACAGTTTTTCTAAAACTAATCCAGTCATTTGAGGAGTGACTTTCACCCCGATAACGTCAGGACTTTCAGTGAGTCTTCCTTCTTTCTTCCTCTTATTAATAAAAAGTTGATTTCATAAGTAATAAAATGCCCCCACCCTCCCCTCCTACTCTCAGGGGTTACAGCCCTGCTTGTGGTAGCTAATGTTAGCTAGCACTGATCCTATAACAAGATGGTCTCTAGTCTTCTCAGGAGTTGATGGAGACCGACGCAGAGCTAAAAGTAGAGTCAGTATTGGATTTATATCCAATGTGTCTGCTGATTGTGTAAATAGGGAATCGTTTGCGTTTGAGACGTTTGGTCTGTCCATCGATCTGTCTACGTCAGATTAAGATCCTAGATTACCATGAAATGTTGTTATAAGATAAAAGATAAGATATATTTTAATGTCCCTGTAGTGAAATTCTCTTCTGGCATTCATCCTGCAGTTCCACAGAAGATGATTCCTCGCTCTCTTTGCTCTGCTGAGATTTAAAGCTCCACGTTTTCCTTCTTCTTCTGTGTTTTATTTGAAGTGTTGATCCTTAAGAAGATTTATATTTGTTGTTTTATAGAGCAGATAAAATATAGCAGATTTCAGGTAAAAACACTCAGAGAAACCAAATCCTGCAAGGTTTGGATGGTGGGTCCAGGTGGGCGGGGCTTGGTGACTGCTTTGTTGTGACATCACAAAGTTCCAGAAGTCCTGACGGCTGGTTTTAAGGCTCAGTTTCTGAATACAGGCTGTGTGCATTTCTCTGTGGACTGAGGCTTTGATACTTTCACAGTATTAATATAGAAGCTAGAGCTGATCTATAATCACACTACACATGGACACAGACCTTTACACTGGAGGAGCTTTAAACTGTTTTGTTTTTAGAAACTCAGTGAGCTTTTCCTCAGGCCGATTTGAACAAATATAACTGAACAAAATAAAGCCACTGAAAAACTACTGCCTGGATTGCCTTGACGTTGGCTGAAGATATTCATATCAAGGTATTAAAGTGTTCTCTGTGACAGCTGTGTTTACTCTAGATACACACACACACACACAAACACAAACACACACACACACACACACACACATACGCTTGTAGAATCCGAATGAGAACTGTTGGAATACAGAGGTTGTGTTTATTGGCTGAATGATGAAACTTTAATACAGAGGGGATGTGGGATTAGACCCGTGGCTTTAGTTACACGGAGGCAGCATCATAATCTATTAGCATCAGCTGTGATGGGATTACGGCCTATTAATGAGACCACACACACGATAGCCGTGGGATCTGTTTTTAGTGGCTGCTGGGCTGGTAGCGTTAGCGTCATGTCACCGCTAACCCATTTCAGCAGAGGTGTAAGAACAGACACGAGAGCTGTCCTCAACCAGTCCGCCATCAATCCCCTCGTCTCCCGCCTGCTCGCCTTTTCTCGTCACATCACAGGAAATCCTCTTCATGTAAAGCGAAGGATCCTGTTTATTACTCTGTCCGTCATCCGCTCCGTAATACCAGCGTGGAATGAGGGGGGGGGGGGGCTCCGCTCGTATCCTCGGGTTGTTTGTTTCTCATAAGGAGATGTGATGGGAGGAGAGGAGAGTTAATGAGAGGATAGAAGAGGGAGGAAGAGGAGGAAATAAGCGAGCGCAGGCTACAGCCACAAAGCCAGCGGGGGGGGGGCAAAAAGGGAGGCGTAGAGCGAGCTTGGCTGGGCTGCCAGTCCTGGTCAGCATCATTGATTATAAAGGAAACAGAGGGGTCAAAGGTCGCTTCTTAATGATGTTGTGCTCCTTGTGCTGATGTCGAGCTCTGCTGACTTCACCGTTGAAGAAGGTGGATCCACAGGAAGTGACAGGATCACCTTCACGCGGTATAGACGGCGTAGGAAGTGTGTGTCACTGACTCGGTGAGAGCAGCAGCCGCAGTTTGTCACCGGTCTGTTACAATAATCTTCAGCTGTCAGGAGATCAGGTGGAGTTGAGACACGGCAGATGTTTATTAATTCATTAATATGATACATTTGATTAATATGATTTTATTTTTTACAGCTGGTTTTTAAAGCTCCTCCAGTGTAAAGGTCTGTGTCCATGTGTAGTGTGATTATAGATCAGCTCTAGCTTCTATATTAATACTGTGAAAGTATCAAAGCCTCAGTCCACAGAGAAATGCACACAGCCTGTATTCAGAAACTGAGCCTTAAAACCAGCCGTCAGGACTTCTGGAACTTTGTGATGTCACAACAAAGCAGTCACCAAGCCCCGCCCACCTGGACCCACCATCCAAACCTTTGCAGGATTTGGTTTCTCTGAGTGTTTTTACCTGAAATCTGATATATTTAAATAAAAAAGTAACAATTTAAACGAAGCTGAGATCTGGTATCTCTTGTACAGAGGGTCACACTCTCTCCTGCAGCTACACCTCACACACCAACAGTTTTCACACGGGCTGGAATCAGAGTTTCCAAACATTTTCATCCCTGTTGATGAACCTGTATTAACGAATCTGAGAGTGTGGAACTATATATATATATATACTGAATCTCTGATGTGATGCAGTAGTTTTAGAGGAACATGTTCATTGCAGATGTGATCAATAAGTTATTTGTCAGTGGGAGGACATCACCCTGAGTTCACTGTCGTGTCACTGCACATGCAAACACACTTCATGTTATTGCTTTACTGTTTTTTTAACCCCGACAGCCGTTACAGTGTCTTTCTATCTCGTGATACGATACGATCAGAAGTTGAATTGTGTCTTTTAAAATCCAGTTTTGACCTCACCTTTTCTTTTTCTTTCTTTTTTTTTTATCCCAGGTGACGTTCCGCACGAGGATCTACCACTGTAACATCAACAGCCAGGGGGTGATCTGTCTGGACATCCTGAAGGACAACTGGAGTCCTGCCCTCACCATCTCCAAGGTCCTGCTGTCCATCTGCTCCCTGCTCACTGACTGCACCCCTGGTGAGAGCTACAACACACACACACACACACACACACACACACACACACACACACACACATACACACACACACACGCGTACACGTGTCCTTGTCATAACTCCCCAGTTGTAGCCGTGGCAGGTTGACAGACACGTCAGCTCTGTGTGGATAATGTATATAGAAGTTTGTCGCTTTGAGGCTCAAGTCGTGAGTTTAGTGACACTGCAGCGGCGGTGGCGGCGGCGGCGGCAGCAGAAGCAGTTTCCTCAGAGCTGGACGGGCCTGTCGCAGTGAGGGAAACGCTGCCGGTTTAATCTGATATCGGCTGAGTTGAAATATGTTTCGACTGCGATGACAGGAGGAGCGGGAAAACCCAGGCTCGCTGAATTCATTCCAGTTCCACACAGATCAAGTGGAGGAACCTCAGTCGAGAGTGAAGGCGTCAGTCTGATTCAAACACACCAGGTTTTACAAAAGTGTTGTGTGATAGACGAGAGCAGAAGTGTGTTTCCTGTCTCTCATTTAGGTTTTAAAATGGTTTGTGGTTTTATCCATTTGAAATAGTATAAAATGTTCTGAAACTGTGTCAGCGCTAATCAGACTGTGGCCACAGAGGACACATTTGCAAATATCATATTCCTAAGAGACTGAATGTGGTCTGAGTGATCGGATCTCAAATGCGTCCTCGACGTGTCTCAGGTGCGTCCACACCTGAACTTAGAGCTGACCACATGCGATCGGAGACGGATGTTGAAGATCCATATTTTCTTCTTCTTCTGTGTTTTATTTGAAGTGTTGATCCATCAGAAGATATAAAAACCATCTCAGTGTAGTTTCACATCTCCTCTCTCAGGCTTCTCTCTGCAGCTCTAGTAACAACAGGTCGGTGAGCCAATCAGAAGAGAGGAGGCTCTGAGCCTCTCTTCTGATTGGCTGACTGTTTTCTGAGCGAACCAATAAAAATATAGCAGATTTCAGGTAAAAACACTCAGAGAAACCAAATCCTGCAAGGTTTGGATGGTGGGTCCAGGTGGGCGGGGCTTGGTGACTGCTTTGTTGTGACATCACAAAGTTCCAGAAGTCCTGACGGCTGGTTTTAAGGCTCAGTTTCTGAATACAGGCTGTGTGCATTTCTCTGTGGACTGAGGCTTTGATACTTTCACAGTATTAATATAGAAGCTAGACCTGATCTATAATCACACTACACATGGACAGAGACCTTTACACTGGAGGAGCTGTAATACCAGGTCTGAACACCAGCCATAGACAACACTCTTCAATAACTGCCCTCAGTGTGACAGTGGGGCAGAAATAATGACTGTAGCACATTCAGACCATTTGTGTTCACCCTGTTAAAGATACTGTGTTGGGCGCCTGAGCTCTCCTGCTCCTCCTTGCAGTCCAGTCAGTGTTTATCCAGGACTGGCTGCCTCACACAGTCCTGTAAACAGCTAATTAGATCCATTATGGCTCCGTTTAGCAGCAGAGCAAAGACCACCGATGGAGAAACGGTGGAATGAAATCAGTCTTTTATGGAGTAGTGAAAACGTGGGTCCACTGGTCCTCAGCCACAGACACAAATAATGTCTCTCGGTATAAAGTTTTACCGGCGATAAAAAGCAGCTGTTGACTTATATCGACACCAATATGATGTTCAGAGAGAAACATCTGGGGGGGGGGGACGTGTCGGAGCCAGAGAGTGCATGACAACGACATGGAAACAGCTGATTGTGAAGACCTGTGATGAGCTTGTGTCCTCTCTGCGGGGGATTGCTCTTTGATAAATGTAGCAGCGGATATTCTCCTTCTCCGTGGGCGAAAAATGAGAATAGCTTTTCCTCTTCTTCTCCTCCTCCTCCTCCTCCTCCACGTTTTCAGACGTTACTGAAATGATACGAGCTGATTCCTTTAAAGTGGGATAGAAAGAAGAAAAAAAAAGACTCCCACCGTCCCCCCGTTACCCTTCCTCCCCTGTTACCCACGCACTTTCACTCCGTCTTTCTGCCTCTTGCCTCATCAAAATCAGTCGCTCGCTGCACTTCTCGCCACTTGTTTTTTAAACCCAGCCTCAAATGATGGATGTGATCCCCGGATCTGCAGTTTGTGAAAGCGAGGTGGACGACCCCACAAGCAGATATTCTACCTGTGGGTGTTCCTGGTGCTTCACTGGGGCTGAACACACACCTGTCTCCTCCCGTCTCTGCCTCTGAGGAGCTCCTCTTCTTCTTCTTCTTCTCTTTCTTCTTCTTCTTCTTCTTCTTCTGCTTTTGTCTGAGCTTGTGCATCTGATGTGTTGCTGATATACAGATGGTCTTTTATAATAAAGGTGACTTTTCCCGCCTCGGTAGCTCCGGGGGTGTCAGTTTGTCAAACCTGTAATAACAGCTCACCTCGCTCTGCCTTAGAGGAAGGTTTTACCGTCTGGATTGATATCAGAATAAATGAGATAAAAACAGCTCAGGTGCGGATGCCCTCAGCAGCTCCCGCCTGGACTCTGTAGTGTTTGAAAAACGTGTGTTAAAGTGTTAGAAAACCATAAAATGCCTCTGTAACATCTGGTCTTACATTAGTGCAGCAGCTACCAGTATTTGCTCCGGTCACTCTTAAAGCCGTATGAAAGAGGTACGAGGCTCCATCATCATCTCGGTGTGTCCTCTTCTTCTGCAGTGGTTTAATTGCACCAGCCGATTCTCCCAAGTCTTAATATTCACGTTGCTAGTGGATGAAAATGCAGATTTAAACCCCCGATAAGACCAGGGTCCACCTGGCTAAATTTTGGCCGCCTTTTCCTGCTGTAACATCTTTCAGAGCACAAACAGGGTAAACACACCTGTCACCTGCCCCCGCAGGAGGGGGTGGGTGGGGGGTTGTTTCTCTCTCTGTCACCTCACTGAGAAATTGACCCGCGGCACAACGAACTGAGCAGCAGCGCGATCGATAGGAGGAGTCCGTGAGAATTCATAATGGCTGGCTGTTGACTGACCGGACGTGTGCGGTGTATCAACAGACGGGATGGCGGGCGCTGGGCTGCTGCCGGAGCCCAACCACCATCATCACCTCTGATTTACGGCGGCGTGTACATTTTACTAGGCTGTCGATAAAAGTGTCGGCCGTGCTGCACGTCCTGCGATACCTCAGACCGCAGGGATGACGGAGCTGCATTAGTTTGACGTACGGCTTTTTCTTGTGGTTTTCACTGGTTGTAAAAATAAATAAATAAATAAATCCCCATGCATGCTGATGAGCCAAGGTGGTCGGCTGCAGGCTTCTCCACCATTTCAGACCGTTTCAGGTGATTGGATGCGGCGCAGCAACCACACGGCTGTTGGAGTGAACATGTTGTAATGTCTTCACACATAGAAAATCACTCACACAGACAGATGTGGGGTCGTTGCTGATGTCACGCTCCCCTCAGGAAGTCTGTAAGTGTGAGACATTATGTCGAGGCACAGTACGTCTGAAACTGCTGGATAGATTCCTGTGAAATTTGTCGTGGATATTCGTGCTCCCCAGAGGATGAACCTGAATGTTTTTTGGGTGAACTCCTGACCTTTCTTCATGTGCCACCATCAGGTCTTCATTTCTACTTTTCCACAATGAATAAATAATTAAATTGAACTGGAAGATTAGCATGAAGTTTTCAGAGCGCCGTCATGCTCCACAGAGGATGAACCTTTGATTTTAATGAGCCAATGATTTTACTCTGCACTTGTGTTTACATGTGTACTGTGTGTGTTCTTAAAGCTGAACAAATGTCTGGAACACATTTTCTTTCTCATAAGACATTTCCAAACCAGATTGTTTAAACATTGTGAGGCTCGTCTAGCTGGCGGTTATCTGCTGTCATGTGTTGTCATTGTTGCGTTTCTTGGTGCATCACCGCCACTGTCTGTGGAGTAGCGTGGACACATGAACAAGAATGTGTGTCACACTGACTTCATGCTCGGGGAGGCCATTCCTCCTCTGCACCAGTGGTGGTCAAATATTCTTTATGGTACGTTTCATCCAACACTTGAGTGTTTTTCAGAGCGATGCATGTTAAAGTTTTAAAGCTCCTCCAGTGTAAAGGTCTGTGTCCATGTGTAGTGTGATTATAGATCAGGTCTAGGTTCTATATTAATACTGTGAAAGTATCAAAGCCTCAGTCCACAGAGAAATGCACACAGCCTGTATTCAGAAACTGAGCCTTAAAACCAGCCGTCAGGACTTCTGGAACTTTGTGATGTCACAACAAAGCAGTCACCAAGCCCCGCCCACCTGGACCCCACCATCCAAACCTTGCAGGATTTGGTTTCTCTGAGTGTTTTTACCTGAAATCCGTTATATTTTTATTGGATCACTTAGCAAACAGTGAGCCAATCAGAAGAGAGGCTCTGAGCCTCCTCTCTTCTGATTGGCTCACCGACCTGTTGTTACTAGAGCTCCAGAGTGACGCCTGAGAGAGGAGATGTAAAACTACACTGAGATGGTTTTTATATCTTCTGATGGATCAACACTTCAAATAAAACACAGAAGAAGAAGGAAAACAACATTTTAAAGATTTCATGATTTAAACTCACTCACGTCCTTCTGTGTTACAGCCGACCCTCTGGTTGGAAGCATCGCCACACAGTACCTGACCAACAGAGCTGAGCACGACAGGATAGCCAAACAGTGGACCAAACGCTATGCCACATAGACCAGCTCGACTCCTCCAGGAACCCCCCCGCCCCCCACCCTCACGCCCATCGCCCACCTCCTACCGCCACCAACACAACACACAACACGACACAACACAACACAACACTCTTCTGACACCTCCCCTCCTCCGAAAATCTATGGAAGCACACCCGCCCCCCCTCCCCCCCTGTCACCCACCCTGCCCCCCTCCCATCCCTGAGAAATGAACTGTTATTTGTTCCATGCTGACTTGAAAAGCTTCTTTTTTATACAAAGAGTCTATTGGGATTGTATTTTCCAATACACTGAATGTTGATATGGTCATGAAAAGCTTTAATACTGTTATTGTTCTCGTCGATGTTGTTGTTCTTATTGTTATTGCATTGTGTATAACATTGTCGCCACCCTCGTCTTCTTCTTCTTCTTCTTCTTTATCTTTAAAAAAAAAAAAAAAAAAAAAAAAAAAAAAGAGCGCGTGTATTATTCCCATTTCATTTGATGGTTTCATGTAAAGACGATCATGCTGAGCGAGTGCATTTAGTTTGTTTTCCTCCAGTGGACTTTACAGCTCATGGTCAATATTAGTGCATGGCATCAGGACACGCGTCCCGCTCGGCGGACACGCCGTCGTGGTATTATTTCTGTCCCGGCAGAGTTCTGGCATGGAGTGAGCCCATCACCGTTGTATGATGATAGTGGTAGTTTGCTGTACATTTAATGCCTTGTGAGAATACATACTCATTGAATACTCAAATAAACACTGGCTGTAATGTGACGGAGCCTGTCTCAATCTGTTGCTTTCATGCGAGAATGTGTGATTCCAGTGTGTGTGTGTGTGTGTGTGCGTGTGTGTGTGTGTGTGCGTGCAGCCTCGTCTCTCAGACCACTTCCTGTTGGAAATGAGTCGTCATGGGCTCACCACAGAGAGCAGAATGAATCGACGGTGAAACCTTACTCGTGTGTTCTCGGTCGAAAAACTTTTTTTCATTTTGTCACATTTTGTTTAATTAATGTCAGTTAGAGACACAGTGAGATAGAAAGATAAATATCTTTTTATTTGCGTCTTTACTACAACAAGCTCTTTGATTTTTACTGCTCACTGTCTTTTAATATGAGAGAATATGAACTGAAATACAGATTAAATGATATTCAGGTATTTTTCTGTCCGCATCTCCATTCAGTGTCAACAACCTCCATCAATCAGTGTTTTATTCTATTCTATCTGTTCTTTTATTATTCATTTTCTCATGTTTGTTTTTGTTATTACTGTTTTTTAAATCTATTTCATTGTATCTCGCTCTCAGCTCTCTCACTTGATCTCACTTGTCCTTTGTCTTTTTAGCCCGTCAGTCGTCAGTGAAGCACTTTGATCTAACCTGTATGAAAAGTGCTATACAAATCAAGTTTGACTGATTGATTGATAAGGTGGGACTGCCTGCATGTAACCTGAGAGGAAAAGGTCACGGCGCCACTCGTTGCTCCTAATTATGATGCAATCAGACAGGAAATAGCGAAGGTAGTGTTGTAAACATGAGCTGCAGCAGTGGGCTAACAGAAGTAATGTAATATTTCACGGTGCAGAAATAAAACAGAAACAAACATGATTTCCTGAATGAGAGATCAGTCCGACCCCCGTCTCACAGCAGCTGGACCCTGCACAGCCCTGTGATTTCACAGGTCAAAGTTCAATCGGACTTCATGACCTCTGCGAGGAGCAAAGGATCAGTTCAACCCTGTTTTACACACAGACGTGAACGGGAAGCGTGTGGGGGACAAGAACAGGATTTTGGGTTGGGGACACGTCCCTCTGTCAGTCCCCAGGTGAAAATGCATCAGTGTATGACGGGACTACAGAAACTCTGGCTGCTGCCATGTGTTTTCTCTCAACTGTTTTCTGCTTCTAATCAATCAATCAATCAACGAATCAATACAGCTTCATTAATCTGTGAGGGTAATTTGATTTGGTGCATAAATAAGAACGAGAGACATGCACAGACAGGCGATTACCAGCACAAGAAAAAGAGCTATTAATGATAATAATAAAAGTCATAATGAAGATTAAAAACTAGAATCACCTGCTCGTGGTCGTATCCCTCCGCCACTCAGACTAGTTCCAGGTCACATCCCTGTTTAACCGGAGTCAGAGAAAATATGAACCATTTGTGTGAAGTTTTGTCATAATTGCTGTGAAGTCTTAATCTAATCAGTTCGTTTTTTTTACCAAATTTGAAGAAGTTCCATCGAGGCGTTACAGAGAAATCGCATTCACACAGCCAAAACTGTGTTTTGTGAGGTCACCACGCCCCTTGACCTTTGACCTTTGACCCCCGAGATCTAATCAGTTCATCCTCGAGTCCAAGCGAATGTTTGTGCCAAATTTGAAGACGTTCCATCGAGGCGTTACCGTGTCCACGAGACTGAGACGGACGGACAACCTGAAAACAATAAACCTCCGGCTCCGACTGTCGCCGGGCGGAGGAATTAAAATGAACTACAGAGATAGTCCACATGATATTTAAATATTTCATGTGCCAAACTCCAGATAGAGCAAAGAATTGTCCTATAGTTCCTGGTTCACCGGGCGTGAAGTGTTGTAGTGTTGATAAGACGCTTTCTCAGACCAGCATCGCCACCTGTCTCATTTGAATCAGACCACAGTGCTGCTACAAATACACAGGGTCCTCTGGTTAAACAGGTCGGACTATCTTATGATGTAACACAATGCAACACACACACACAGTCAGTCAGTCAGTCAGTCAGTCAGTCAGTCAGTCAGACACAATCAAACACACATTTCTGCTGGATCACGTCCATGTTTGGAAAGATGCTCGAGCAATAATCAGCAGTGTTCCTGTTCTGACGCCTGGATCCAGCGCTCTGCCTCTTCCAGACCACGAGCTGCAGTCATGTGTGACCGGTCCGACCGTGACGTCGGACAGACGAGCGGCTTTTTCCTAATAAACTGGCAACTCAGTGACGATTCACCATGCACAGGTTGGTACTTCTGGAGAGGAGAACAGTGGTTTCAGGATATTTACACAGATTTTGTGGTTGTAAATGTCCAGCTGTCGTATTCTCACGTGCTGTTTATTGCCACTAATGATCATGTCAACAGAAAAGCTGCTGTGTGAGTAAAGGTCAAATTAACACAGTTCGAGTTTGCAAAATTGAATAAATTGAACATTTAATAGTTTAATGTTGCATCTTCATCCTCTGCTGCACAAACTAAACCTCCGCTGCGACTGTGAATAGAGTTGAGTTTATATGAAGTGCGTTTTTCCTTTAAGACAATTCGATCCGACTCCGGCTTTAATTAATTAGATCATCACCACATCAGCGTTCAACCCCACATCTGCGTCTTCATTATATTCTAATTCAACACAATCCTTCATGCACTCATACCACATTTACAGTGAGTTCAGACTACCGCGAGAGAACGACCATCCTGATTGGTTGCTCGTGAATTCAGTTGTAACATCGCATTTCTTGTGACGTGTGCAGCCATGAGCTCAAATGCTAACAGCTGCTACATTTTCAAACTTCACTTTAATCCTCCTGTACGGCAGCACAGACCAACAGCTCAGGACATGAAACCCCAGACAGAGGAATTCATCTACTACTGCTACTGCCCCCCCCCCCCCCCCCCCCCCCCCCCCCCCCCCCCCCCCCCCCCCCCCCCCCCCCGCTGTGGATCAGTCTCACAGCTCCATGTTATGGACAGCGTGGGGCATCTTCAACACGATAGAGGATCCTCCTTTTTGGGCTGTCACTCAATAAAAAACCTGCGATGAAGTTAAAATCCTCCCTCGGCTCCTCTTCGCTGTCAGATGTCACCAGTCTGTTTCCCTCCGTGGGTTTTAGGAGCCGTTTTTGTAATTGATACGTCTCTGATTTCATGAGTCCCTAAAGTCCCAGCGTGATCATCTTCTTATCTTGTTCACACAAGATAATAACGTGCAGACAAGAACAAAACATTACCTAATTACTTGTTGACGAAACATCTTGAATATCTTGTGAAAACAAGTTCACACCAATTTGCTCAAATTTGCACCAGAGATTATTTTGTGTGAACAAAAGTATCAGATGTTTTTTAAGCAAACATTTATAACATTGTGAAAACAAGATATTCAGATGTTATCTGAATATCTTGTGCACACAAGTTAATATAAATTCACACAAGTTTGTTCAAGTGATTATCCTGCAGCATGGAGATATTTGATCATATATACTGTGCGCACAGGTTAACACAGGTTAACACAGGTTTGTTTGTGCACAGAAGATATGAGATTAAATTTTCTTCTTTGCCCTAGATAAAACTTTGTGTGCCGTGGATCTCGTGCACCATGTGCCAATTAGCGTGCATGAAAAAGATAATTGACAAATGATGAGACATAAGTTTCCCCAGCTTCTGTTTTTCTCATTTGATACTTTAATTTGTGAATCCTACGTTTCCCAGAATGCCTTTTGACAGCCCACAGAGAAGGAGAATTAAAAGTGTGACAGGAAATTGAAGAGGCTGAATAGCTTGTAGATAAATAGTGGGGTGTGTCATGCTCTGCTGTGGGTTCGGTCTCTGATTGTGTTGCAAAATCAGCAAAGTGGAGCAACAGTGGCAGAGTTAATTATGGTTGACACGTCGGGGGCGTTGGGGGGGTGGGGGGAGGGTGGGAGGCAGCTCATCTTCCCTCCACCATCCTCCCTTCCTCCTTCACACGCAGTGGGAGGAAGAGTCTGATGCACGGACAATAATGTAACATTTGCAGCGAGAGGTGAGTGATCAATAGCAGTGAAAAGGCCGACGTTGGCCCGTGAATAAACAAGCACCTGCTCTGCATAATAATGTATATTATGCAGGTGTAATGTGTCGGATTGGAGACGGACAGACACGCTGTTACTACTGATGGAAAAATGTCAAGCAGGTTATTAGTCAAACAACATATACGGTTTATTCTAAGCAGCATTTGGCTGATGACATTATTAATGTTTATGTTTTTTATCCTTATACAATTCATATTTCATATTGCAGCGATGCACACAGACACATATACGTTTG